GGATGTTTTTTAAAACCCACTTACAGGTTTTGGGTATAAATGGTACTGTAATTTATTTAAGATGCTACATTATTTATTGCTTTTATCTGTGATTTAAGGAATGTGAAGCTACATCTGTATAATACTTATAGTGAAATAAACAATGTGTCGGATGAAAGTGAGAAAGTGACCAGGTGGTAATAATGGTGAAAAGAAGTGCATAAAATAGGTTTACTCACTTCCCTCTCTGGCCAGATACAGGTTCCTGGTGCCCGTTTCTACTTTCATTTTATTGACCTTCAGCTTTGTAGCATCTTCTTTGCTCACTGCTGCAACAATCAATAGCTTTCTGCCATCAACACGGATGCCACCATTCTGTATCAAACAAACCACAAAATCGCAGTAACATCAGCGCAACACACAAAACAATACACCAGTTGATGCCACAAGAAGGCAGATGCACAAGAGAATTTATACATAATGACTCATAATTCATGTATACTTGGCTGTACATTACCTCTGCCTCATCCTGTGCTACAGCTATGCATTTGTCTGCTGCCTCTTTAGTCTTAAACTGAGCAAATGCACAACCTGGAAAAATACAATTAAAAAAAAAAAATGAGTCCATCAACAAGTTTTCTTGAAAAACAGAGTAAAGAAGCGTGTTTCGTTCGGCTGGCTGACCTTTGGAATGTTCCGTGTCTGGGTGGAGAACAATCTTTATGTAGTTGAGCTCGCCGTAGCGTAGAAGAACTTCCTCAAGACCCTCTTCCTCCGTGTCAAAGGACAAGTTCCTGAATCAGTCGAGATTAACTCGCATTAATAATGAATAAGTGTGACTTTTTGTAGAGAGGACGTAAGAAGGTGAATAAATTATGCACAGTGGAATAAATGAAAGCAGGTTTAGGATGAAGTCGAGAAGAAGAATCACCAACCTGATGAATATCGTTCTGCCCTCTTTCACATCTGAAGGAAGTTGTTTCTTTGGGGCTTTCTTTTTAGCTAGTCATGAACGCAGCAGAGAGGATATGTCAAAACCTATTTCCATGAAACAGAATAATAAACATTGCATTCAAAAATACTGAAGAATCTGTACCTGATTTATCTTCTTCATCCTCCTCCTCCTCCTCATCATCATCATCATCGTCATCTTCTTCATCCTGACTTTCATCTTGATCATCATTTGAATCAAGGCTACTCCCACCATCCTCCTCCTCCTCCTCCTCCTCCTCCTCCTCCTCCTCATCATCCTTATCGTCGATTTCATCTTCTTCTTCTTCATCAGACTCATCCTCCTCACTGCCTTCTTCTTCACTGTCGTCTTCATCACCTGACTGGGAGTCCTCTTCCTGCTGCAGAACTGGTTTCACATCGACTCTGTGGAAAGAAATGGCACAAAATGAACTAGTAAAGCTCCCCAGTTTTGAACACCCACTGACATATTACCAGTGGTATACATATTTAGATTCATATTTAAGGATCGCACTTTTTCCTCGGAGGCTCTGCTTGTTTCTTTTCTTCAACCTTCTCTTTAGCATCACTTTCTGCATTTGCGTTCATCTCTTCTGCGTTCGTATTGCCTAAGAACAGACAAAAGTAGGGATTACAAACTGCTGAGAATATTAATAAACGTTACTGATTTAATATGTAAACAACAAAACAGAGGAAGACTTTAGCCAAAAAAACAAAAAACCTGAATTTGACGACTGTTGTGTGGCAATATATTTGTCCTTTGGCACAGCCCAGTCAACTGCTACCTGCCGACCTGTGCGAAAGGTATCATTACAAAACATTATACACTAAATAAAAAATTCATTTCCAAAACTGTTTGTCTTGTGCAATTCGAGTGATTCCCTCACTAACCTTTGATCTCCTTCAGGTTCATAGCATTAAGCGCCTTTGCAGCTTCTGACACATTTTTAAACATGACAAAAGCGAATCCACGCATCTTCCCATCTATGAAGGAATGAAAAAAAGAAATACACAAAGAAATCAAGGGTCAGGCAACAGTTTAAGACAGTCATACTGAATTGTACATCCAGAAAAAAAAAACTGCTTTTACCAGGTTTGAGAGGAATTTTGGACTCGAGAACTGTTCCAAACTTTTCAAATACTTGTTTTAGATCATCCTCTGTGCACTGCAACGCAAAACACACATCAGCAAACATTGGTGAAATTCAAGAGAATGGAAAAATGTGTGCTATGAAGTCGATGCAGTTCACAACTGTGCAGCATACTGTACCTTAAAACTAAGATTCCTTATAATGAGTCTGGATTTCATCTGGATTTTCTTGATGCCTTTGGATTTCTGCTCATTTTCCTTCGGTGCTTCATCTGCCTCTTTAACTGCTAAATAAAATATGTGCAGGGTTATAAAGTGGACAGTGCTAGAGCTGTCCCAATTGCTAGTTTTGGCACACATGCTCATACAAACCTGCTTTCTTTTTGTCTTTAATTTTCTTCTTCGCCACTGAGAGAAACAACCTCTGACCGTCGTACTCTTTGATTTCTTTCAAGGCTCGCTGTGCATCTTCCTCCATGGAATAGGTCACAAAGCCAAAGCCACGGCATTTTTCTGTGCCTGGTTTAAAAAAAAATTTTTTTTAAAAAGACAGACAGACAATCAAAGTTTGCAAACAGAATTTTGAATATTCCGCTTGGCTTTTTTTTTTTTTTTTACATTAGCTCAAGGCTCAAGTGTGATTCTCCATGCTACATTTTCAGCTAGCTTAAGGTACACACATGCTCTACATTAGTGTATTCTGTCCTTCAAGAAATGACATCGTTACCTTTGTCTCTGACCACGAAGCATTGCTTTATCGGACCAATTTCTGAGAATATTTCCTCAAGTCGCTCGTTTGAAGCTGAAGCTGGGAGAGAACGAACGAATATGGTATGCGCTGCCATGGCTCTCTGCTGCTAGCTAGCTGCTAGCTAACTGCTAGCTTCTAGCTCGGTAGTAACTCACAGGCTGAAGGGTAACGACCCGGCTCTCACAGTAAATGTCAAATTACTCTATAACCTCCAGTCACTGATATGAACACATGCTACAGAACTCATCAATTGAATGCCGTCAGCCCCCCACATTAAGTCGCATGTTTACATGTGTGGGCAGCCATCTTCCAAAGTTACCGGATGTCGGTCAACTGTGGTTTTGTGTTGTGGCGCCTCCTGCCGTCCTGGAGGTTTACATGCCAGAAAACACTATTTATTGGGGCCCGATGCACGACAGTGTGCAGGACCGTCTTGAAACTGATGGAATTCTTCAAGGATTCAAGGATTCAAGGTCTTTCTTGAACACAAACACAGTCATACACGGTATAACGCGCAGTGAAATGCTTTGCGTACCTGTTCCACACCGAAACGATATTAAGGTCTGAACAAAAACAAGAATAAACACACAATAAATAAATATGTATATGAGTATATATAGGGAGAGAGAAAAAAAGGGATTAAAAAACAAGCAAAATAAATGAATCAAGTTTTCAAACAGTGCAAAAAGAGATGGAATAATTGGAAAAATTTGATATTTTTTGGTCGTTGCAAAATGGCCCCATAGCGCCCCCTACATTGTTTTTATATATTTGGAACATCTTGTATGGGCAGCATGTTTCACCTACTTCCATGAAACGTGGTAGATGTATGCAGCACATCCGAATGCACAAAAAAGTCAGTGACAGCCGTACCCTAAACCTAGTGGTTCTCAGGTGTTTTCTGTCAGGCCCCCCTTCTGAGGACAAAAATGTTTCGGGCCCCCCTCGCCTTTAAGGAGATATTCCCTCCTGACAACATATTTCAGTCTCAAAAAAATGTTAGAATCAGTATCTTGTATGAGTTGTCTAATTTTATTTTCTTACTTGCTATTCATCTTTGGACCTTTCTTTTCCAGATGAAGAAAGTTAACTCATTTCCTGCTTCAGCTGTAACCGCTGAATTGTTTACTGTGACACTTGAATAGAACGGATTCATCAACAGGGATTTTAGAAACAGCTGTACTGTTCCTGCTATTGCAAGCATCTGCTGTGAAAATCCCTCAAAGCAGTGATGTAGCTGCACCTCCAACAGACCATTTACTCAGACTAGTGCCCCACTTGTCCACCATTGTAAATGT